CGTGGGGCCCTTGGCAGTGCCCCTCCCCCAGGGTGCCACCCACACAGCAGCAGGTGTGACCTGCCGGTGGTGCCACCCATTGGGTGTCATCCACGGGGTGTCACCCAGTGGCCCCCACCCCACAGTGCCCCCTCGAAGCCTCGTAGGGTGTCACCCATGGGGTCTTGCCACGTGTCACCCACGGGTGTCACCCACAAGACCTCAATGGGTGCCACCTGCCTGGCAGTGCCACCCAAGGGGACACATGTCCCTGCCTGGTGCCACCGCATGGGCCTCTATGCCCCTGCAGACCAGGGCTGGGGCCGGAGGGGAGCCCCGGACGCCTGGGTCCCCTCCTGTCTGTATTCTCTGGCGGGGAGGAGGGAGGGCTGAGGTGGCCCCTGTCACTCAGGGGACACCAAGGCACGGGTGGGCTGGGAACCCAAGCATCCTGCAGGGACCCTGTCCCCATGGCTGGGGGACAACATGGGGAAACTGAGGCACAGAGGATTGGCCCAGCTAAGGGACCCAGGCATCTGGCTGATGCTGCTGGCCTGGGTCACTCCTCCCCAGGGCAGGTACTTGCCTTGGTGGACCTTCGGGAGGTTCCTCTGCCCATCTCTGGCCTGGCCAGGTCCTTGGGACCCACCCTGGGGTGCACCCACTGCTCCTCCCAGTTCCAGGCCATCGGCAGCCTTGCTGAGGGTGCGCCCTGTCCCTTCCTCCAGATCACTGATGAGTAAGCTGAACGACACTGGAGCCAGCCCTGACCCCGGGGGAACACCGCTAGCTCCAGGCCTCCAGCTGGACTCTGCGCCCCGGTCACAACCCTCCAAGCCCTGCCATTCTGCCAGCTCCCAACCCACCTCACTGTCCGCTCATCCAGCCCCTGCGTCACCAGCTTGCCCATGAGGATGTCATGGGAATCAGTGTCAAAAGCCTTCCTGAAGTCAAGGTAGATAACATCCGCTGCTCTCCCTGCCTTGGGAGAGCAGTGCCCCACCTGGCCCATCATCCCACCATTGAAGGCCATGGGGTTGGTCAAGCGTGATCTCCCCTTGGCGAACCCATGCTGACTGCTCCCCATCACCTTCTTGTCCTTCAGCTGCTTGGGAATGTCTCCAGGATGAGCTGCTCCATCAATTCCCCAGTGGTCGAGGTGAGGCTGACCGGCCTGTGGTGCCCTAGATCCTCCTTCTTGCCCTTTGTGAAGACTGGGGTGACATTGGCTTTCTTCCAGCCCTCAGGGACCACTCCTGATCTCCACCGCCTTTCCAAAATGATTGCGAGTTGTCTTGCAACGACGTCGGCCAACTCCCTCAGCCCCATGGGTGCATCCCACCAGAGCCCATGGACGTGGGTATGGCCAGCTGGCTCCAGTCATCCCTAACCCGTTCCAGGCTAGTCCAGGAGGGGATCCCAGAATAGCAACCAGCTCTCTTGGAGCCCTCCAGAGCCATCTCCCACAGGATCCATCCGTGGCACGACAGGGCCAGCTGGGGAGCAGGGCCAAATGGGGAGAGCCGGGGTGGGGGAGGCCGGGCTGTGGGGACACCTGGGTCCTAGTTTTGGGTCTGAGATGGGAGCGAGGCAGCCGGTGGGGCCCGGACACCTGGGTCCGCTTCAGCTGCTGGCTATGAAACAGAGCGGGGGTGGGGGAGGCCGGGCTGTGGGGACACCTGGGTCCTAGTTTTGGGTCTGAGATGGGAGCGAGGCAGCCGGTGGGGCCCGGACACCTGGGTCCGCTTCAGCTGCTGGCTATGAAACATGGGGTGAGCGGTTCGGGGTGGGGCTGGACTTCCTGGGGGGGGGGGGGGCCTCAGG